AGCCCTACAGCTTGTCAAGTAACAGAGGCACTGCTTTCAAAGTTTAAAACAAGGGTTACGTTCTACCATCACTTTAACATACCATAAATCAGCACTGCCATGCAATCCATCCCTGGAATTTTGTGAATTTAGACCTCAGGTGGTAGCATGTGACACTGGAATGGGCCAATGTAGCACCTTCCTGGCTGCAACAGCAGGGTCCCTGATCCAGCAGGATCTAGCATCAGTATGATGGAGAGTGAGAAGCTTGAGTGTAAGAAAAAGTCATTTTAATTTCACTTGTCTGATATGTATCAGAGCAGGAGGTGATTTTTGACAGTCTCAAGTTATAACTGAGGCTTTCATCTAATCAGTGAATTATCACTTGAGGTGTGGTTTGAATTCAAAATTGACTGAAATACTTTAATCAGGAAACAAATTTGGAAGAGTGCTGCACTGTAACTGCATATAAATTTAGCTGCTCATTTTGCCTTCTGCATTTAACTGAATGCTACCCTTTTAAGATACGTATTGAAACCAGGTTCCATACCGAGCAAATAATTTAAGTAATTACTTGGACCTAGTTTAGCATTCAGAACTAGCTAAGTTAGCATTCAGAACTAGCTAGGTTAGCATTCATAACTAGGTTAGCATCCATAATAAAGTGTACTGAATCATAACAGCAAAAGTTAATCAGCACCCATTTTTCTTGTTACCAGTTTTTTTGAATTGCTGCAGGATGAGCTTAACGAGTCTACTGAGTAGTTCTCAGCGGGAGGACACGTTCAGAGAGCTCAGAAAGAGGCCTGGAAGCACAGGGAAGTCTGAGAACAGAGAGCACAGGGACTGAGGGCTGTACCCCAGCCACAGTGTACTCTCTGCTCCAGGAGGCTTCCCTTGACCTCCTCTCCACGGTACTCCCAGGCCCCTGCCTCAGCTCAGGGATTACTAGGGGTCCTAACTAGGCAAGTTCTCAGGAACCAGGCCACAGTAGCCATAAGGATGAGCCCAGACCCCATGGGTTGGGTTGGCACAGGACAGCAGATATAACTGTGCTTCACCAGATGGTTTGGGAACTAGAGCAGGGGAAGAAAGAAAACTGTCTTGTGGACTGAGGTCTTGTGTGAGGGTGTAAAACTTCATCAATACTTTTAACAATCACAGCAGTAACACGGTGACAGCTGCAACACACGAGAATTTTCCTCCACTTCTTATTCCAAATAAACTTGTTAAAATTAGATACATGGAGACCTATAAAGGTACTTTCATTGTTTTAAGGCTTTTAATGTTATCCTTGAGAGTTAAATTTTTAGTAAGAAGAGTTGGGAAACTTGGTCACAACACAATGTGGCTTGAAAACAGAATTTTATACTTAAGTACATATCTTCTCCATATGTGAAGGCAATAAACAGCTAGAGTTGCTTAAAAGCAAAGTGCGCCAGTGGCTGAAGACAAACATTTGGATTACAACATAAATTGACTTGTACACAGAAGTAGCTATTTCTGTAGCAGCCATAACTAGGGTATGATGACGCAGGAGGGCAGGGCTGCCATCCAGAGCAGGCTGTGCAGCCTGGAGAAACACTGCTGAGAGGAACCTAATGAAATTCAACAAAAAGCAGATGCGGATTCCAACATTTGGGATGGGAAAAGCCCATGGATCAGTGCAGGCTGGAGGCACTAACTACAACGCAATGTCCTAGAAGAGACATGGGGGTCCCTGGTGAAAAAGTTGTGAGCCAGGAATGTGGTGAGGCACTGGAACAGGCTGGCCAGGGAGGTGGTGAAGTCACCATCCCTGGAGGTGACTGAAAAAATATGTGGACGTGGTGCTTCAGGACATGGTATAGTGGTCATGTAAGTGTTGGGTTGATAGTTGGACTTGATAATCTTAGAGGTCTTTTCCAACCTTAATGGTTCTATAACAATGATTCTATGAAAACACCTTGCAGCAAACAAGACCCATGGCCTCCTGGGCTGTGTTAGCAAGAACAGAACTACAAGGTTGAGGGTTGTGGTCCTTCCACTCCATTCAGCACTTGGGGGACCACATGCTAGAGTGCTTAGCTTTGGGCTCCCAAACAAATCCTAAGGGCTACCTTAGGTCAGTGGCTGGCACATGCAGCCCAAGGAGATCTTGGTGCTGTCAATGACCACAGAAGAGGAGGGTGTAGAGAAGCTGGAGAAGCTAGATTTTCTCCAGTGTGCATTATGGGAGGATAAACAGCAATGCACCTGCATGCATAGAAAAAATCTTGGCTCAGTATGAGGGAGAAATATTTGCCCTTATCAGAGTAAAGCTTGGCAGAGGTTGCCCAGAGAGGTTGTAAAGCAGCCATCCTTGGAGATAATCAAACACAAACAGAATTGGTGCAGAGTATTGTACTCCAGCTGGACCTGTTTTGAGAAGGAAGGTAGAAGACCTCTTATAGTCTGGGTCCTCTAGAGGTCCCTTCCAACCTACCCCACTCAGTGCTGAGCTGGTCAGCGTGTTTTAGTGGAAGGCAGTTTTACCAATTTTTCTTAAAAGATTATAGATTTAGTTTTGTCAGGGAATACTAAAAATTAGGCTATCCCAAGATGTTTTAAAAGCAGCATTAAACAAACCAGCCAACCAACCTTTGGAATCTAGAAGAACACATTCAAATGCAGAGGTCTAGGCTTGTAAGAACACCTACAGAGCGATGAAGGTGCCAGAGATGGCAGTAGCTTAGAATGACTTAAGAGGTCATTAAAAGTAATCTTCTCAAGACAGGATTCAAGACCAACACTGTAGCAGAAAACACTTTGAGGAAGTTAATTTAGGAAGAGCCGTGCATTAGGAAACCAGGTACAGTTTGCTCAGTACACAGCATTAGTGAGACTACTTCTAGAGCTGCCATACATCAAAAGATATTCAGTATTAAAAGGAGAAACAAAACCAAGCTGGGAATAGAAGACAGACCAAAGATGTGAGGCTTAGGGAGCTTAGGGTGTATAGTGCATACAGTGGAGAGCTGAGATAAGGCAGTAAGTGTGTGAAGGCTCGTGGATGGGGTAGAGGAGGTGGGGAGAAGACTTTGGATTTGCTGCCCAGGCTGCAGGTAGCAACAGCTGAAGTAGGGCAAGTTCAAGAACGTAATACCTCCAGCAGTGAGAATTAACACCACTTTGGAACAATGTAAAAGGGAAGATCATAGATATGTCACATTGAAAATTGTAAAATGGGGTAGACATTATTAAAAAAAGTAGTTTTAATACACTTTGAGACAAGTTAGAAAGACCAAGTATACATGAAGGGAAGAGCAGCAGGAACAGGACAACACCTGCCTGATACCAGTAGCATTTCATCTTTTTTTCCTCAGTATGTTATAAGTTGGTCTTTTGAAGACTGTAACTTTGATCTTAACTGTTGTTTGAATACAGCTTGTTTTTCTGATGATTGACAGATGAAACTAAAGAGCATGACCTATATGCAAAACCAAAATGGGAGGGAAAATAAATGTACAGACATCTCTATCGTAAATGCAGCAGGGAACAACAAAAGTCCTTTGCTCCTGTGAAGTCTCTAGTAGCCTTAAACTGGTTACACTGCTGGCATGTGACACTGTAGTAACAGAAATTGTTGTTGTGTGCTTTTGATGGACCTTTTTAGTTTGAAATATTTTAAGCTCTGATGAGCTTTCGTGTTGTAGACATACCCTAATCTCATTCTTTTATCAGTTCAGAAGTCCTAGTCTTTCCAACTCACTGATGCATACAGTAGGTTCACATCATAAAAAGGCCAACCACAGATTAACCAATTTTAACTTCATCTTTATTTCCATAGATCAAAGTTACACTTCAAGTGGTTAGATCCTTTGCTTCACATTTCTCACCAAAACTACAGTAGCTACCACAAAATGTGCACCTATTACCATGCTAATAGACAGTAGTTGTTACTGCATTTTTCAACCTGCCAGCGAGTATCATTTGTTAGCCACCATTTATAGTTACTTTATCTATTTACACAACATGGAGATAAGTCATAAATTGATGGTGTTCTGTTTGCTGCAGGTCCAGCCAATGGTAGAACGTGTAGGAGCTTTCAAAGTCAATAATGAACTCTTAAATGAGGAGCAGTGTGAGAGCATCTCAGGGGTTCTGTGGATGGCGTTATTTCACACTGCTCCAGGGACAGGATAAAAAACCTACCTGGTCATGTCTTTCCACACACATCTCCTCATTAAAGGGCTTCTCTTCATACCCTTTGAAGACATACTTTGTGCAACTATGAATTTAATGGAATAAAGATGCTGACTGTTAGAACTATTTGTTGAAGCAAATACTGTTTTCCATTAGAGGCCATGATATTATATTCTCTGAATCTTTCTAGTTTGGCTGAAGAGCACAGAGTGCACAGAAGTTCCTAGTGTCCTCTGTAGAGTGTTTTCACAGAAAAATAATTTATGCAAAACATACATCTCCTCTCTACATAAAAATCTCAAAGACTCTTTGTATATTTCCTATGGATTCAACAGAATAATACCTTTTTTTTAGAATTGTAAATACCCTCTTTAATAAGAAATGCTTGATATCTTTGGTTTGCTTATATGCTGGATGGAAAAAAAAAAATTTAAAGGGAATAACTGCCTAGTTACCTGAGGTTCATCTTTCATTTCTTCTAACATGAACTTTGGATAAGATTAGCTGTTTGGTAGCTGAAAAGGAAAATTCTCCAGAAAACAATGAAACACAAAGTTATTTTAAGAGTGCACATTAAATAAAACAAAACTATTTTAGTAAAACTTACTCTTAAGGTTAGTTGAAAAATAAAACTAATAATCCTGATGGTTTCAGCATTAGTAATGTTATTTTTTCTCTCTATGGCCACCTTCTTTACAAATATAAAGCATTACAAAAATATTCACAATATTTCTATATTAATCTATTATTACATATTATATTTTGAAAAAAGTGCTTACAGAGGCGAGTTTATTAATTGCAAACTCATACCCTTCCTGTTGTCTGAAGCCCTGATCCAGTTGCTGGAAACCCTTGTTCAATACACAACAAGGCGTTAAACCAACTTGCATTTTTCCTTCTATGAATGTCCTCCCTACTTTTACATTTTCATGTCAAATTAAGTCACAGTTGCTTGAAAAGTAGAGTGTGAGCTGTGTTAAATCACAGATTAGCAATGTACTTGCTTCTAAATAGTAAGTTTCATCTCTAAGGTAAGGCTTTGAGAAATATTTCATTGCTTTTATTTTTTATCCTTCTTCTCAGTATCCAGTACTTTATATTCATCTAACACAGCATGGCCAGTTTCCTTTGCAGTTCTCTTCACAACAGCTTTGATGCCAATATTGTCAATGTTAAGTGCTGCCACACCAACGTTGATTGCAGAATTCATGGCGTTGTCTGTGGCGTCTCCAGCCTCCTCGCCGTACCTGCAGAGAGACAGCAGTTCTGGGGACTTGGGTGTTTAGTGTTTTAATCTTCACTGGAATTCTTTTGAAAGCAAAACTTTAAGCATTACCAAGAACAAATAATAAGCACGCAGCCCGAATGGCTAAAGAATAAAATTAGAAACTACCAAGCCATTAGAGCATGGGCTGCTCCTCTATCAGACAGATTACTCTTTAAAGATACCAATATGCCTCTGCCCTTTTTCCTCAGAAAACTTCCAGTCTCTCTCCCTCCTTCCTCTCCAGTTTGATGAGTATAAGGCTTATCGATAGAACCACGGGGGTGTGGGAAGGAAGCTGGGTGCCATAACCCCAAAGTACTTTTTCACCTAAGTTCTTAGGCAAAATCCCTAATAGCCTCTGTAACTCCATGTAAATTGTCTCAGCTAGACCCTTGCAGCTGCTAAACCTCCTCAGTCTGTACCACGGGTGGCAGCACTGAGAAGGAGGGAGGGCAAACCCTGTCCTGCCTTCTCACCAGTTACAGAACATCTCCTCACCACGGCCAGAACAGTCCTTGGTTGGTACTTGTCCTACTACACCTTCGCCTGTGTCTGCATGGCAGATACAACACGTCTGGTGTAACAGCAGCACATTGGCATGTGAGATCAGAGTCCACAAAGCAGCTCCAGTGAGGTAATGCACCAGTGTGCTCAAGTAAATTAACCCAGACAGTCTGATCGATCTCCTGGGTACAGAGCTGCTGACAGAGCTATGCAGAAAGGTCCCTACAAATAAAAAAAATCCATTGTCCAGTGAAAACTTATCTGAAATAACCTGAAATCAATACAGGGGCAAAGGGCAAGGAGGGGGCAGAAAGAAGGAGAAGTCATACAAAACCCCAAAGGGCTCAATAAAGCTATCTTGAGGATATGATGACAATAGTTACTAAGAGATAAAACCTGAAAACCTCTGGTTTCTCCACTGGGCCATGGGGTCCAGCTTCTTTAGGCTTTAGGGGGCAAGTCAGCAATCTCATGTTAACCCCTCAGCTGTGGGGAAAGGGACACATCTAAAGCAGCAGAGCGAGCCTGCTGGAGGAGGACAGAAGCACAGTGAGAACAGCAACTCTTCCTGCTCTGGGCAGCCAGGCCTGTCCCCAGGGAGCACTGTCAGCAGGCAAACCAGGCCAAAGGGAAGCACTGCCACCAACGTCAGAATCCAAGCAGCTAGAGTTGCTTTTTCCCCTCAGCTTCTCATGACCAGAGATTCTGTGAGGACCTCAAAATAAGGCTAGGGAGAAGCACAGAATACCAAAGAATCAAAAAACCCACTTCACTGCCAGTACAGCAGCCATGGCATAATCTCTGGAACCAGCAATGGAACCAACTAAAAAGAATTAGTGCTGCTTTTAATTGTCTGATAGAGCAACAGCCTTGAATCACCAACAACACATCTGCAGATCAGAGGATTAATCTCACCACAGAAGTGCAGTATTTGTCAATTTGATTAGTTGTTTTCACCTGAGGAACATTATAAGCTAGTTTTATATAATATTGGTAAAATAGGTAACCTCACTTAAGGTAAGACTGCATCTTATCCAATATAGTTAGAATAACGATTTCTTAATATTTGATAATTGATTTTTCAATCTTAATTGCATCATTTTTATTTTTTTTTTTAGAAAAAAAGTTGGGCAGATGTAGATACTTCAGTTATTTACAAATATCATTAAACACCCACCAAGGAAGTAGCATGGTACTTTTGACAGAAATATTACTTCTGAAGCTACATTTTTTCCCCAATTCTAATCAACATGCACATATGATGACCACCTCTTCATAATTCCATCTGTAAAGGTATTGCAGTTAAGTTCTAGCTGTGTTTTTTGTGGATTTAGAGACACTGTGATGATGCTCCTTTAGCTTTATTTCCATTAAGTGGAATTTAGCTTATTCACTGAAGTTTTCCAAGTAGGAGAAATCTTTGTCACCGAAACAGAAACCAGCTCCCCAAAGAGATATGATGTAGAATTTTGATACATTTATACAGGCAGATTTTAAAAATCATTCATCAAATATTTTCAATTGTATTGTAACAGCAACATTTAATTACTTATTGTTTTTCTCTCAGTGGCTGTTGACTGCTGCTCTCCATATTTCCTACTTTATATCTAAAACAAAAATATGAATGTTAATTTATGTGAAACTAGCACCAGTGCAACACCCCCTGTGATTCCTACTGTAAACAACCTTTAGGAGTAAAGCACCACCGACCAGAACTGCACTATCTGGCCTCCTGTTTGAAATGCAACACAACCCCAAATGCCAAGCCACTTAATGCTGCATGCTGGTGTTTACCTGGTCACCTTCTGCTAGTAGCCTGGATGCAATTTAATCAATCCTTTCAACACCTCTTGCTACACTTGCCACAGATCCCATTTAACCTACAAGCTTTTGCTTACCCTTCACTTTCTGTTATACCTACTGCACTTTTTCTGAGGCATGCACTCCATGTTTTGCAGTTATTTCAATATATTCCCTTATTCTCCACAGCATCTTCCAGTACATGCACTCAGCTTTGGTCTCTCCATCATCTTAGTGACATCAACTTCATCCCAAATGTTATTATCTTCTATTTTTTTTTTTCTAAGAACATCTATATTTTGCAAGTCAAAGCTATCCTATTATTGCTATTTATGCCTTAGATCTCCTTACACAGTTTTTATTTTAGTACCTCCTTGCTTTAGTCAGAACTGCTGATACATAAATTCTTCCATTTTTCTTAAATTTAGCTACCTTTACATATATTCAGGCTCAGGTTTAAACCAGTAACTTTTTTCATAATGACATTATACTATAATACAAAAATGTAAATCTGAACTTTATTTATAACATATTCTGAAGCTGTACACTTCCAGAAGAGAGCTAAAACATACTTACCACAATTATTTACTCATTTCATATTTTTTACTTACAGGAGATGCTTATTACTGTGCACTTAGCAGCTTACCATGTGTTGCTTAATTAGAGCAAAGCAGGTATTTCAGTTAGCTTCCCTGCACTTTCATAAGCTTTTTTCCCCCCAGTATTCAAACAATAGCAATACACTGTGGAAGATGAAACCAATAAAAATGTAACTTACTTGTATTTGACAGTTTTTACAGTCTCAGTTGAAACACTTTTAGCAATGCACTTTGCTGCACTTTCTAAACCTTGCCACACTGTTGAAAACCCTGTAAAAATAAACAGCTTATTGGAGTTCACAGCACTGAAAAGTATGCAATTAAAAACGTATAAGGAATTTTTATTACCTTGAACTCCACTTGCTGCTACCACCAAAGCACCATCAAAAGTAGATTTGCCATCTTTATCTTTCTTGAGGGATTCTGGAACTAATTTGCTGCCATGCTTCTTAACATGTGGAGCCAGCTCCTTCCCGACACAGCTTGCGATAGAACACACTCCCTCAACTACCATAAAACAAGAGCATGCAGATTATTTAGTAAGAACATAGAACATATTTCTTTAAAAGTCCTTACTCCTAATTAAAAATAAGCTTTGCTGAAGTCTTAAGTGTTGGCTTTAATCTAAATATGCTTATTTGAAAGACAGTCTTTAATCCACAATAAAGTACCAATTCATACAAAAACAACCTTATTTTCCAGATTCTGCACAGCTCCAATTCCTAAGAAACAAGTAAGCTTGGTCTTGTAGCTAAAAAACACTTTAAAATAAATACATACACATATCACACTCAGATTTCAAGAAATGTTCCATTGCTTTGTTATCCCCAATGTGCAGACAGGGAACTGGCCGTGTTTCTTTCCTGACCCATCTTCTCCAGAAGTCTTTCTTACAATCAGTCCAGCTCTTCAAAGTAGTTTTATAACATCCAATACAATTTGCTTTTAAACTGGAATGAGTCATTAGACACTAAATATAAACACTAATCCAAATAAATACCAAAATGAAGTTACCAAGACCTTCTAGGGTCACCGAGCACAGCTTTTAGAAATACATGGGTTATCAACTTAAGGAGAAAGAGGGTACAGCATTTTGAATTACAACCTAGAGAAGTATACCAAACGTAAGTCTGAACAGACTGTTCTTTTGGGAAAGGAAAAGATGCCTCAAGGCCATATAATGACTATTGATCCTAAAGCATGTGTCTCACAGGGGATAACTAGGCACAAACTACTGATCTCTGGATTTTGTCAGGTCAGTCCCTCCTCTGGTTCACTGGCTAGAGAAACCAGCTCTCATTTTACAGAGCATTTATTATTTAAGGCAAAATATTATGCACTGCAAGATGGAAATTTTTACCTAGGAACTGGCTGACTTTCACAGCTCCTCCAGTAGCCTGTTTTGCTACGTGAAGTCCCTTTGCTACAGCTGGGTTGACTTCGAGAGGTTTTTCTTCCGGCTGAATGTGCTCTCGCAGTTTAGAAGCTCCTTTGTGGATAGCTTTACCAGTATACTCTGCTCCTTTTATTAAGCCCCAGCTTACCCAAGAGGCACCTTCAAGGCAAAAATTGGTTTTTAGAATGCAGCATTTTACAGACTATGTTTTCTACAGCGTTTTCTTCTCTATCTCTGCAACACTGTCTTTAGAAACATTCCTGATTACACGGTCTCCAATTATACTCTGTCCGGAGTGGGCCAGCATGAATTCCTGCAGTGATTTCTGCTCCTACAACACCCTCATTTTTTTTCAATTCACTTTATTTAATATACTCAACTCTCATCTAAATGTCAGCTTAATACAGGTACTCAGGTTTTTATAAGATATCCAAGCCCCAGATGGGTCAGAAGTGATAGAACTGCACATGTCAATCCTATTAGCTTTCCAAAAACATACAACCCAACCCTCTAGCCCTCCTAGGAGGTTCATATTTATTACAGTTAGCTGGTGGTCATTAGGATACTCCTAATGTTCTCAGAGGAAAAAACAAATGCTTATCTGCTGAAATCACAATAGATGCCTGCTTTAATATAACTGCTCATAGAAGAGTAAAACTGTTCTATTGCAAGTGATTTGAGTCACAAGGGGTGATATCCTAACGCAGCCAAACGAGGAGCCTAACTCACGTGCAATGAGCAAGGCTGCTGGCAGTGGGTTTAAATTCTGCACTGCTTTCATAAAGCTCACCAATGTATCCTTTTAATGATCACAACTGGAATCAGTGAACAACTATTTCTGACCACTCAGCTTCTACCAGCACACAGGGATTCAGGTGAAAATATTGTTTAAGTGTTACTCACAGAGACTTATATTCAACACAATCCTCGTATTGCAACAGTACCTGACAAGATTCCATGGGCAACTTTCTCACTCCATTCTGGCAGCTCCTTCCGATTTTCTGCTCCTTCAGGTTGTGGCTGGATATGTACAGTCTGAGGCAAGTTAACTGCATCACTAGAGGCTTCTGAAGGCTAGCAAGTGAAAGGAAACATCTGAGAATCTACCTCACAACTTATCATGAGGATTTCTGTTTTAGATCACACAGATCTGTTATCAAATAGTCCTAATGTGTATTCCTTGGCTAAGCATACAAGGAACTCAAAGGAAATTGGTGATTCAGTTACTTTTGCACAGAAATGCTCTGCATTCAAAAAAGTTATCAGACAGCTCTGTATTTTGTGTACACTTTCTTCATCCAGTTACAATGAGAAGATGACTATATGGCCGTGTTGGCAAGCACAAGCAGCTAAATAAGAAAAAGTTGGAGTACTGGTTAACTAGCCAAACAGATAAGAGATGTGTCCATCATTCATTTTTATCTCCTCAGAGGAAAGTCAACTCTGTTGTTATTCAGTATGGGAACTGCAGTCTTGGGTCAGAGAACCCAGCTGCACTAAGAGAATGCAGCTGCTCTGGTTGTTTTGTTCTTCATCCTTTCCTCCCAAATTCAGAAATAAAGGAGCTAATTCATTCTGTCTGCTGTTGATGCTTCTGCAGACTGGCACGGCCAAGGAGCGCATCAAGCTGTGCATGATACTGCTCCCCAGTTAAAGCTGGGTGGGTAGGTTCTCTGTGATTTCACGTCAGACACGATGGAGTTTCTGGAGTAGATGCTCATCATTCAAACACAGTAACCACCTACAGGCTGGTTAGTGTTTCTAGAAAGTCTAACATCACTTCACACAGTTCACAGACAAGATATAATTAAACTTTAATTACACAAAAAAAGTAACACGCAGTTTTGTTACAATTCTATTTTCAGGATATTTCCAATGCAAAAGTCAAAACCACATTTCAATGATTGAAAACACTGCTAGTTAATGATGGCTAGAAAGAAAAAAAATGTTTAGTCTAGGAGAGTCTAAATAAAACCATTCATAGGTGAAACCTATGAGCAGACTAGAACACACAAGATAGAATAATACTGGGTATTACATGGAATTCTTAGATTCCCCTGAAATACTTACTGGAAATAAAACCAGGGTATTGCACAAAGATGACTGTTGCAGTAGAACAAAACAAAACATTAACAGAAAAGAGCAGATTAAGACTTGGAAGGTTGCTACCCAGAAGGTTAACAACATATCACTGACATGTACTGTGTCATCCATTACTGCTTGACAGCAGGGTGAAATCTCAGGCTCAAGAAATGTCCTTAGCATGTGACCAAAATATTTCAGGGGCTGGGTAGGAGAAATAACCTTAATATACAGCTATGGATAAAAAAACTAGCAAAACCAATTAAAAACACACCAAACTATGTTCCACACAATTTAGTTATACCACAGTTTGGGTCACAATGCAGAAGAGTAGTCAGCAAGATTTCTAAGGACCATACTAAGGAGGACAAATGGAATCTCCAATAGGTGGCTTGATACTGTAATTATATTAAATAGAGCTGCTACTTAAATCCTCATGAGCACTATGTCAAACAGACACATTAAAGGGCCATCAGGCTAAGCTCTGAAATACTTGTGCTGTATCACTGGTTTTAAAACTCCAGAAATCTGACTTGCAAAATATGGTAGCCTGCAGTAACTGAATTAGCTCTTAGCAAAAAGCCAAGCAAACAAAAAAATAAAAACCACCACCAAATAAAACCCAAACAAAGAAACAAACCAAAAAAACCACACCGACAAAAAATACCCAAGAAAACCCAAACAAACCACACCACAGGGCACAGCATACATTGCTGCTATCAAGTCTGGAATCTCTAACATCTATTTCAGTGACAATTTTTTTTTTCTTTTTAGCTACAAAATTTTGGAATCACTGCCCTGGAATTTACCTGGACTTTGTGGCCAGACATCTGTTTAAATTTATCTTCAAAATGCACTCTCTCAGTTGCTGGGAGCTGTGAAGATAACCCTACCCTCTCAAGGGATCCTGGCACCTGTGACATCGTATCAGGGAACATTAACAAAAAAATGGAATTTTAGGACAATAAGGAACTAATAAAATATCAAATTTGAACTACTTCTATGCAGGAAAGATGACAAAATTTTATCCATTAAGTCCTGCATTGAAACATCACATAGTTCTGTAGTACTCTTCCCTTTTAAGTAAAAAATAGTGACCTCCTCTGCTAGTGAAATTCCCTGCTGAACTCCACAGGATTTATACCTTAACAGACCTCTGCCCACATGGCAAGCTGTAAACTGGTCCTTCCTCATCACTGCATCCAAATCTTGGCCATTCAACAAGATTCTATCTCTCATGAAAAGATATAATCTTGCTATGAGCTTTTAAGGAGCTATTGATTACTGTTCTTCCTGGAATGGTGCTTCAGTGCCCTTACAGGAATGTTTTCCACTTTGTTTCCAGTCACTGTATCTTATTGCACCTTTGTTAGACTACAGTTTTTTTCTATTTTCTCTATCAGTACTTTACTGCAGTAAGGCACTAGAGACTTTTCTGTTTTGAGAACCCATCTGAGGGTACATTTTTGAGGTATACACTGTTTTCACAGGTCTTTTCTGAAGCAGATCAACATTTTTGAACTGTAAACACATTTGGGCACAATATTCCAGGAATGGCATCATCAGAACAATACACACAGTGTGTGCATATGTGCACACACAGAAGAAAAAAAAGCCACACCTTCTGAACACAGCATTTCATTTGGGGTCTTATGTTAACTTTTGGAAAAATAAGAGAAAAATATATAAAATGGTTTGAATTCCTCTGTGTGCTTACAATTTACAATTTTTAAATTTGTCCTCCCATCTCACAGGGCCTACAGCTTTATTATTAGATAGCTTCATCTTGGCTACTTTATCTGCTTCTCCCTGATGAGCTTAACAAGCAAGACATAGAAAGTTGAAGTTTCACACAACTGACTATAAATGGGAGAACATATTGATCATTTACACCTTTCCTTATTGGCTTAGAACAGGCAGCCCAGAAATTTACCTGTATTCGAAGGTCAGACATCTGTTTTAAGAGATCCTCAAACAGCTCTCTGTCAGCTGCTGGAAGTTCTGAAGACAGCACTACTCCCACATAGGACCCTGGTACCTGGGACATTGTGTCAGGGAACATGTAGACTCCAGTATTGCAGCACAGAACAGGAGACTGGTTACACATTAGAGGGTACAACCAGTCACAAACCTAGAAAAGATAAGTACATAAAGGAATTAAAAGATCCTTTTAAAAATAAAGGTAGACAGAGTGGGCTAATAAGCACCATGAACTTGATTTTCTGTAAAGTTTTTTAAGAAAAACTTTTAAAACCCTACGTCATCTTGGAAAAACAAACAAAGAAAAAACTCACATGACTGTGGAAATATTCTTGATTAGGTCTGACAGTCTAATTAAAGAAAACACGAACGTTCCCAGGACTATAACCCAGACTGGTAACCTCTTAGCTGAGGCCTAGTCTTGAGGCCAAGGTGTAGAAGCAGGTGAGAAGCACAAGAACCAGACAAGTCAGATTCACAGCACCCGTGACTCCCTGCAGACCTCAGGCCAGGTTTATGTGCTAGGATAAAGAGAAGGTCTGACTGCTGCTGGCTGGCTGCTGAAGACTGCTAACACAGGTGGAGGCCACCCACCAGACCCAAAACCAGGGAACAGTTTTGGTCTGTTTCTCCAAGTTTCACCTTCGCAGAGGAGACTTCCACAGCAACAAGGAGATCTGAAGTCAGAAAGCAGCTCAGAAATACAATGTATGTTACAGAACATGGCCACGTGAAGCGATCATGGACTGAAACAATCCTAATGCTGCACCTTTTTTATTTGTAGTTCAGAGTCTGGATTGATGTGGGCCCTCAAATCCCAAGTTATCAGTTGCCCTAACTGCAATACCTTATCACGAGTTGAGGCTGAAGTGGGTAGTCTCAACTCTGTTTTACACTTGACATGCTACAACAGGATGTTGTCTCTATCTTAGGAGAGGGCAGTCAGTTTTATGAAATAAAGACACATGTTAACTACTTGAGAAAATGGAATTCAGCATCACTCAACCTTGAGAAGACACAGATGTGATTCTCAAAGAAAAAGTCATAAAAGTGTCTATTTACAGAAAGCCATTTTCCCAACAGTTATAACATCTTCAGTCTCATATTATCACACAGAGATTTAGGCTCAGAAGAGCAAGAGCTTAAGGAGACTGCCTGGTAAGTTTTATGACAGTTCTTGAAATTTAATGAAAGGAGACTTTCCTGTTACCTGAAGAAATGCAGGAGGACGGTCCCGAGCCACGTCACTGTCCGTGTCCAAGAACTTCACGATGCGCAGATACCCAGGATAGGAAGGAGCACTGACCTGCCCATCAGGAGTCACAAAGAATATCTGTACTCCTTGGGGAATCAAGATCAGCTCGTCTGCATCCACTCCCAGGTTCTGGAGGGGAGGTGGCTGAGTACACTTATTGTAGTAGTCCTCACCTACAGAAGAAAACTCCCCAGAGTCTGTGCCATAGGACACAGTGAAGTGGCCATTGGTAGCCTGAGGAGTATAGGCAGGAGGTGCTTCATTTGGTGGACAAAGAGGTTTTGCAGATGATGGACTCACAGCTGGAATCTGCCCCGGGCTCACAGCTGCACCACTTCCAACTGCTGCATGTGGCTGACTTGGCCCAAACAGAAAATGAGGGGCAGGGGGTCTGTCTGGCTTTTCTTTGGAGGGAATGGACGGGTACAACCTGGGCACCTCTGCAGGGCCAGCCATGGCAGCAGGACCCACTTGTCCAGGTGGGGTGTCCTGTTCCAGGATGCTGAGTCGAGTACTAACGTTTTGGAGAGTCTCCCTCATCTTCTGCTGCATTTGCCTGGCAGACTCCCACTGGGGCCCTACGCATGCAGGACCCTGTGAAGGAATGCTCACTCCTTGGAGTAAGTGCTCAAGCCCTTGCTTGTAGTAACCTCGTGCCTCTTCCTTCTGACCCAGTTCATCTGTATTCAGTGCTTTGGTGATAAAAAAAAAGGCTTTCCTGTACTCTTCATTAATAGCTTGAACATTTCCATCTTCCTGCATAACTGGATCCTGCAGTGGTTCCATTACTGCAAACAGGAATAAAAATTAAAGTATTCAGAAACGAAGCCATACAAAGTTTGCCTCAGAACAAAATGCCTTTAATTGGTTTCTATGATGACCACACTGTATCTATTAGCTGAAAGCCACCTAGTTGCTTGGTATGGTGCCTGACATGTTATGGCTATCTCCTATTAACCTTCAGATTTAGAATATGTGATTCCAAGACAGCAAGAAACTTACAATCATCACGTCTAGTTATATCAAGTACATGCATTTCTTTAAACATCATAAAAATACTGACACATCTGATATTAAAATTTCCATCTTAAAAATTATTAAGATAAGCAGCAAATAGTAGAGTAGAAAAAAAAATTATAAACCTAACTTTAATTTTGATAATGTTTTTCAAAGAAATCTCTACGGTATTAAAAAAATCAATTAACATTTTGTCTATTTAAATAAAGGCTGAACTCAGTACTTTTTTATTTAAATAATTTAAGGGAAAGTACTCTACAGATTTCAATAGATCTGGATAAACTTCAGCTGACATCAACACACAGAACTGGGGAGAAATACTTTGAACAGTCAAAGCTGTGCTTTATAAAATGAAAACAAAGAATTACTTATTTCCTTTATAGTGTTTATATATAAAATGAGAAGGATAACTGTTTGCCCTTCCTTGCTCCTTAGGTGACAAAAACTAGTGGGAAAAAAAGTACTAATGTGAACAAAAGGTTGCAGGTTCTATGTCTATTTGGGAACGTACTTCTCAAACTGCATCACGTGTATTTCAGTAACTGAAGAGCAGAAAATAATCCAATGGGCTTATCTGAACTCTAAAATGTGTCAAATCATTGTTTTAACTGAATGCAGGTCTTCAGTCTTAGTCCAAGAACGATTTGTATTTGCTGAATTTGGCCAAGATAGTGTTTACAACCCACAATGGAGAACATTCCAGTGAAATTTTTTTGCTGACAGTGTTGAGTCATTGTCAGCTCAGAAAAATCAGGTTATTAAAGTAAAATAGAGTAACAATCATGGAAAACACAAATGGGGTACAATACAAAAATGAAAAAGAAGGCATTTTCAGGAAAAACAAGGATTTTCTACTGTAAGCTGGATGGATGAAAGGAGCCACCTGTCAATCACAACAATATCAAGCTATTGCAAACATGAGGTAAGGAAAACCCAAAGTGTAAAAATAAAAATACTTCCATTGCACACACAGAGGAGCATTAATGCCACTGCACACAGTGCTGGTGAGACCTCACACAAACCTGAGCCACATTCAGGAAAGCTGAACCAGAACAGAATGAGGGCCAGGTGCAGAAGGTTACAGATTATTTTCTGGTGAATCATTTACTTTTCTCTTTACTAGAGAGTAAATCTGGCTTACCAAGCCAATAAACCAAAGGCTAAGAGATAGGATTAGTCCCTACAAATATACTGGATGAAAAGAAAAAAGTAAATCAGGGAAGAAGACAAGAACTATTGAAATCCAAACTTTTAATAAAATCCTGAAATACCTACATTTAAGTTCATTTAATGTCTCTTCTTGTTTTAGTCTATCACGTAAAAGAAATAAACATATGTAATCTGGAAAACATCCTTCCAACAAAACCAGAGAAATTGAAGAAGTGCAGGTCATGAAAAGGTTTTCAAGAGGCAAAGATGGAATGCTGTGCTCTGCTCCCACATCCTTTATGACCAAAATACAGATAGCACTTACACAGCTGATGGGTTTAGAAGCCGTGTAGATACAGTGCTTAGGGACTTGGTTTAGCAGTGGACTTGGCAGTGCTGGGTTAATGGTTGGACTTGATCATAAAGGTCTTTCCAACCTGAACAGTTCTGTGATTCCATGATGCACCTGCAGCCACATGGCACACATCTCTGCTTCTACGGTGGGATAGAATTTCATGCAGAAGACAAGACACATGGTTTCAGTGAAATGGCAGCCAGGCCGCTAGGGGTGTGCCCGTTACCAGCTGGAGAAAGCGCACAGCCAGGGGTGTGCCAGGTACCAGCTGGAGAAGGCAGCCCACATGGCACAGCCTCAGGCCACCAGGCCCACTGCCCGTGCCCATCACCTGCCAGAAAAACCAATCTTGGGCTGCAGGAGACTGTTCTGGTTGGTTGCAGTCAAGTTTAGAAGTTATAAAGCATGCCTCTGACCAATCCAACAGCAAGCAATTATAATGAAAGTCACTGGAAAGAACTCTTAACAAGTTTGCCAATATAGCTGGATCCTTATATGAAAGATTATACTTAATCATGCCATTTATTTTATGATCCACCCATTAAACATTTACGATACACACAGTCAAATTATTTGCTAGCAAATAAACGCTAGGGACTCCCAGACCACATCATCTTGTATCAACACTTGTATTTACCAATGAAAAGTAAGTTTTTCCTTGTAAGAAATGTATAAAGATGAAAAACAATTAAACAGTAAAGAACTCTAATTAAAAAATTATCCTACGTTTCGAAAACACAGAAAAAGTTTAGAAGGCTGAGAAAGACAGACAAAATTTAACCTAACATCACAGTTTACTGCTTTACGAGCAAAATTTAGTGTTTGGACAGGTTTAGTGCCCATGACTCCAATTCTGTTAACAAATCCCTTCCTCAAGGCTTTAAGTAAACCATTAATTTGTGTGAACACAATTGCAGTACCACAGTCAGCTCTGCCCCACGTTTTTCTGGTTTGTTTTTGCTGGGGAAAGCTAAGGCAAGGATATTTTATTGATTTTGAATAATCCTTTTGCTAATATATAAAAACAAGAGACACCAAGTAAATCCTGAAATCATAGCTATATATTTAATAGTGAATTAATTTACTGTTCGCTGTACACTTGCCATACTGTCGACACCACTGGTCTTGCCAGAGCTCAGTCTTTATTAACACTAGAAAAGGTCTGTAAGAAAATCGAGTTGTCAGCGTGATCACCACGTGCCTGGTAAGAGGTAGAAAAGCTGTCTCAGCAATCCAGAAGAATGGGAGTGTTACAACTCATCTGCCATTGTCTGAAACATCCCCAGTCTGCAGCGTGTGTACAGAACAGTTACCACCAGACCACGCGTTTGGGTGGCAAAGCACATGGAAGTGGAGGAAGGAATCCATGGTAGATTTTAAGTTTAAAACAAGGGAACTGAAAATCAGTCTGGAGAGCTGGATTTAATCAATTCTTATTAACTTATTAAAAATAATACAAAATAATGGATGGTATGAAGTAAATAAGCCAAATGGATTGCTCCCTCACAACACAAGAGGAGATACTACCTGAAGCAGACTCTTAAGTAGCAATCTGATATGCAAGGAAGATCCACAGGCTTTGTTATTTTCAGTGTATGATCTTATTACAGTATTTAAGTGCCCTGGGTGTTTAATATTTGACTGTAATCATTTCTGTACAATGCAGAGTCTTATTTCCTCTGTTGCAAAGCTGTAATGAATAAAGTGTGTATTACTAAATACAAGAGTGCCACAAACCAACCTTTGTTTCTAGTACAGATTGGCTCAGATTTCTATTACTTAGTGCTAAATAAGATTTAGAGGAACTTGTTTTGGAGAAAGCTGGTCCAAAACAGAGCTAAGAAAAGAGCCATTGGGCACTGTAGATAACCACAGATCAATACAGAGCTTGAGCTTGCTCCTCGGCCCTTTTCATTCATCAGTACAGACATGCTCTCTGGTTTTAAGTGACTCAACCACAGGAGGCTGTAGTGCAACAGGGAAACCTGAGCACAATTTGATATTGTAAGCTAATATCTCAGCTGCCTGGCTGACCATCCTTCCTCTGAAGCAGCACACCCCACTTCATTAAAAAATAATGTGTGTTTAAAAAAAAAAATAATAAAATCCAGCTTGGTGGTGGATTTCACTGCCAGAATGTAAACATGAAGCCTAAAGCTTATTAAAGAGGATTAAATAGCCTGACTGACAGAGGGAGGACACTCTTAGATTTTTGAAACCTCGGGGGCACAGGGGAGAAAAACGCAAAACCAAAACAAACCTCTTAATCCAAAAGCTCTTCCTATACAACAGCTGCTTCTCTATTACCCACCAATTTCAAAGATTAAGAAGATAAAGGAAAACTACCATGAAGACAGAACTATTTAAGCCTTATTCTGTAGGGGAAGAGTAGAGGCAGTATGGAAGCATCAGTAACTTTCAAGAATATAAAGAACAAACTGAATTAAAACAGATGTTCTAAAATATTTAAACTTAAAACAAGCCAGGTACTAGCTAATAAATCTACAGGTTTTTGCCTTAGTTCATTTAAATTAGTTTCATTAAACAAATTCTTCATAAAACAGTAGCCTACTGCTAGTTTTTTAAGTACCTAAGACTAGGTAATATTGAACACTAGACAACACAGGAGGTCAATCATCTGATCTAACATGATAATTCTCTGCTCACGAAATTAATTAAGACTTTACTGATAGTAATCTCTTCTGACATTTCAACCTACACCTTCTTCTCAAGCTGGCCCCACAGCACCTACATTTGGCTAGCTAGCATGCCTAGTATTTTCTGGGTACTATTGCTGCCTAAATTAGCGTGGTTTTTCTTTTTTTGTCCAAACAAATCGACTTCTTTCCTGGCTCCTTGGTCTGTCTTTCTATCACATGCTCTCAGGACGGAGCTTTAGGCTTTGAGTGCCTAGCTGGCACTTCTCCAAAAACGAAAATGAAAATCCAGTAGGGCAGGTAAAATCCTTCACCATGCAGCTCTGCTGCCCAGAACTTAAATTCTTCCCAGCAGCGAAATACAAAGTCACCACCTACCATTCCCTGGCCAAAGATTCTAACAACATCACGGGAAAATTAGCGTTATGTAAGAGTTCTACGGAATACTTTCTCATTAGCTGTGTGCCTGTCAGCTCTTGATCACTGCCAGCGGGTGTTTCCATACTGAAACACCTCAAGCCCGAACTGACACGAATCTTCAAAAAAAGAACAAAACACAAGGAGCAGCTTTCCGAAGTATTCTGACGGGCAACTTCTCGATTCCGTAA